ACCCCAAACTTGTCAGCTGTGTGAATTGGTTGCGTGCCAAGACATCCCAGCAATGAATATCAGAAAGACCACAGGCGACTATACGTAAATGCTCTAGTATCGGCTGCGATTTTACTACTATCGGCATGATCCTCTCGTGTCCCTTGCCGTTGAATAGCAGTTCATAAGCCATACTGCCTTCCTCGCCATCATTCGATGCTTTCCTTTCAGTTACTTAATATAAGCACTCGTGCTTCTTGATAGTGAAATCCATCTGTCTGCTATGACTGGTTCGCTGCATTCCCACATAATGTAGCGTAATAGAGGGCACAGCTCATAAGCTGTATAGATGTTGGTTGGAGATACGTTGTTGAATCGTGAGTAAGGCGATAATATCAAGTACTTGATGTGGGAGCAACGCTGCAATAAGGGACGGATCCGGTATTTAAAACTGAGAACACCGTCCAGTCTTAAGAAGATAATGTTGTGTATCGGTGGCCTTTTGTGTCTGCTTCTGCCATCAACTTGTTCAAGAGTAGCGTCTGATAAGTTAGTGCGGCCATCAAACATCACTGAAAGATGCGTTAATGACGGCAAGAAGTCCAGTAGCATTGGCAGCGAGATATCGCAAGTGTGAAATGAAATCGTCAGAGCAGTTAGCGTATGCGAGAAATATCTGATGAATCCTGGCAGTAACGTGCTACTGTCGAAAATAGGTTGTAATTGTTTGCTATGCACATGGTTGCTGATGTCTTATTTTTTTTATTGAAAACAAAGAAAAAGCTTTAGTATATCTTTTGCGCATAAGCAGTAGTAAGTACTACCGAATACGCGATCCTCTTAACGCAAAAAAAAAGAGTATCGTTTTACTTCACCAAGGAAGCGAATGCTGTATCTTCGCCAAGCAAGTCGTTCCAGTACTTTATACGTGGCTTGAGATTTGATGTATACTGATTCGACTTGTTGTCCCAAACATTGAAGCATCGCGTCGCTCCTTTTGATCCATGCATCAGGCGAGATTCCCACCAGTGTCCACAGGGCTGTCTGGTAAGTGGGGATCGCGTATAACCAGCGGCGACATACTTTCACACATTCGACACAGCCCGCTGTCCGATAAACGAGAAGATGTACTGAATGATTCGGGAGGCAAAATCGAGATCAAATCAGTCATATTACGTGTATGTGAAAGGGGACGCGCGAAAAGAAATTTGGCACGAGGCTTTCTAATCGAACAAAGCCTGTATAACATAATCCGGACTCGTGAAATAATATGTCCGACAAAGGAAAAGCAAGTCGAACCAGGTAGCTCACCTGAATTTTATTTGGAAAAGGGGGACCCTGAAGATTGATCTATTGTAACCACCAGTAACTTCATTAAATCTATGCTATCATAGCGATACGCAGATACACATTAGAACAGGGCTCTTTCTAAAAGCATCGACTTCTCGATACGAAGCAAAAGGCTTCAGTGAACACTCGCGTTTATTGTTTGCAAACCGCAAAAGTCATATATTAGTAACCAATCGCTTGGCCTGGAAAACACAGCATCCCTGTGTGCAAGTTTTGGTAGAGCAACTATATCATATCTTCAACAGGTCCCCCTGATATCTTTGGTGAGCGATCATCACTTTCAAATAGGTAACGCATACCTTGAAATATGTAACGAAGTAAAGTTAAATAAGAAAAGGAAGAGAGAAGTGAAGGTGTAAGGGGAGGGAAAGAGCTGTTACAAGAATCACGCTTTAAAAGCAGGCACATCGGAAAGATCAGTGCAAGCTTTTCGATCCAGGTGAAACCCAAAATGATAAGAAAATTGTGTTATGATAAGCTACGTGCAGGAAGAGTGAGAGAGACGAACAGCTGAAAAAAAAACATTCCAATTTTTTACAGATCTGACAATTATACAGGTCTGCTGGCGTATGCTCTGGCGTTGCCTCTTATAAAATAACCGACCATATCCTCGATAACAATTTTTTTCTTGACAATTGCTTTGGCAATTTAGGCGAGAACACAGAAAGTGAAAAAGAGTGCCAAAGCATTGTGATCGTGTTACTTTCGGCTACGATACAGAGCCACTGTCACTGTTCCCCGCTTTGTTTAGCACGGAGCTGTGAATGGATGGAGGGGGGAGTAATTAGCTTTTTGTTCGCGAAAAAAGAAAAAGGAACTTGTCGTGCACATAAAAAAAAGGCGAAGCAAAAAGCGGTAAAACGTTTATGCGGAAAGTGCGAAAAAGAAAAATATATTTTTTTTATTTTGTTTATCATTTTCTTATTTGTGTGTAATAAATAATAATAAAAAAGTTCGTTTCAATTATCCCAACATATACCGTTGGCATCACATGCACCCGAAGGTTCACGATCGGCTGCCGGAGTATATGACCACATTCCCACTGGTATATATTGCAAATTTTCTTCAGGGCGCGGACCACTGAATCTGCCGATCATCAGAAGAATTATGACAATAGCCAGCACAAGCAATGACCCGATCATGGCACAGAGCAGTGCATCTGTACTACAGACCAAAGCTGTACCAAAACGAACTGAAGAGAAGAGAAAAAAGAAAGGCGAAATTGCTCGCTTTATATAGACATTTTTCTCGTTCGGGACTTCAAATCCCCGTGAATTCTCATTGGCCCAGATAACGGGTTGCGTATCAACTTGTGGGCTGCCTACTATGGCATAACAAAAGATACAGCACCAAAGGAAATGAAAGGAGGAGTGGTACCTGATGGTCAAGTAGACAAGCGTGCTTCGGCGGTAGTGGTACGTGTCTCTCACCATGCGGAGCTGTACCCTCCGATGGTATCGGCGCTTGTTTGTGAGTGGGCCGTGCACGGCACCGTGTCGAGCAAAAACAAAGACACGAATGTGAATGAGCATGTAGATTCACGGAAGAAATGCTTTTCTGTGAGCAATAAAATGGCAATATAGAATAGTCTGACAAGGTAAACAACTTAACAGATTCTACGGCATCAGTTGCTTAGTAAATATCAAGGACACGATCCTCCCAGCAGCCAGTTTCCATTTCACCCAACAAGATAAACAGTATAAAGCGTAGTCCACAGACGATTCCATTTTGCTAGTATCTTTTGACTGCATGTGCGGTGTGCGGGAATAGATACAACACACACTTGACTCCAACGCTGCAGTGTATCAAAGATCGTTATCTTTTATTGTGAAGCGTGCTTGTCTACTGTTGCTTTATAATTTTCGCCATCCGCCAACAGTTCTCTGAACTACGCCGTGTAACCTCCCTCCATCCATTCCGAATTCATACTCTATCCAAGCAGATAAGCTGTCCGCTCATGGTAAGTATACGCTGCCGCTAGTGAAGCTGACTCACCCTTCACTGGCTTTCATTGCTGCTGATAAAGTTAATCGGTTCGTTTGTTTTTGTGCGGGTTCTACGTTTTTTTTAGCAGCTTTCAAGATCCATTGGGACGATCAGAAGAATAACACCATAAACGATGACTTCCTACTGTACATCTTTTGACCCTTTTGCGCGTAACTCGTTGCTCCATTGATCACCTTGTTCACCCGCCATTCCTTTGTGCACTTTGAGTACCAAGTAAATTGGCCAAATCGTTGCGTAACAATGCGCTTTCACTCTACGGAGTTTTCGTTTCAAGGGAAAGCTGTTGGAACGTTCGAGGTTTGACACACGCATCACTTGTCACTATCCAAAGAAGAAAGATCTGTGTTGCGCTCTTCCTGAGCTCCTCGTTCCTAGACTACCTTTGCTTCCTGCTGACTCACGTCAGTACAGTATCGCACTGTTATATATCCTCATCTTGTATATACATACATGTTTTTCTCTGTATAAATAATAAAAGCACTCCTTGATCTATATATATATATATATTGATTTGATATGCAGATACTCTTTTCAAAGTTATTATTTGAAAAACAAATACGACAGAATCCTCAGAATGGATCTCCATGAATTGAGCCTACTAGACTCTACTATGTGTGTCGATTGCTGTCCTTTACAACTTTGCATCAGAGTAACAAATTTTAAATAGTCAATCGTTCAGCACATTTCTTCCGGTTTCCCAACAATTGATTTTAAACAGCTCCATCATGCTTAACGACGAAAACGACTACTGTAGCACATACAGGTCACAATATTCACAGCGAGAATTAGCAACTTATAATGGTGCCTCTACAATTACTGGTCACGCTTGTCAGTGAAATGATCATCATTTTGATTCCAAGGCATTGATAGTGACAAACATGCAGGGCTGAGCATAATCCTTTAAAAGGGTTTCCATAATTATTAAGGGATACTTTTCAAAGGAGCAAGTATCTAGATGTTGTGCTTTTATAATTAAAACACTTGCGTCGTCTTCCGCACAGTGGTTCAGGCAGGTCTATCTTGACACCAATTGTACGTTCTCAGTGATAATGAGCACCATTTTGGAAAGTGTCACATTACGTTTTGAGTCGAGGGATAGTAGATAATGCTAGATCATCCACTTTCGTTCTTGCTGTCGATTCTACTGTTCTTCATCATAGTCTATCAAGAGTTTCCAAGTCAATGATTATTTTTTTAATATCGTACATACCTAAAGCACCGAATGAAACAACCCTCTGTGGCTGTGATTGGTTGAAGCAATTAGGATGAATGTAGCGCCGGAGGCCCGTACCTTTTCTCCATTATCTTTTGCAAAACCTTTGACAGAGGCTTGCTCTTCCACATGGAAGGTGTGATTCAAAAATTTGAGGTGCTGCAGCGGAAACGTCGTTCCGATGAAGCTTTGGAGCTCTTAAAGCGCATTGCGTTACAGGTAGATACATATCATTGCACTTGAGAGAGATTGCGCTCAGACAACTTTTGGGGCTTCTTAAATCTCATACTGGTTGCTGACAACTGTTTTCCTTTCTTTCCAGGTCAAACCAATCATGCGCAAACGAGGTTGGAAAGTGGTGCACCTTTGCGAATTCTTTCCGTCTAATCCTAGTTTGCTGGGTAAGGAGATTGCAATAGCTCTTTAACCTTATAGAATTGCTTTTAGTCGATACTCATTTTAGTGCGACTCTACGTATAGGTGTCAATGTCAATAAAGGATTCAAGATCAATATACGATTACGGCCACACTATGACGATTCAGCTTTTCTCGAATACAATGACTTGCTTGGAACGATGCTGCATGAGTAAGATATATGTAATTTTTTTCCAAGTTCATTCTTTCATATTGCCTTTTAGTTGGCATAATTTTCAATGCTAATAATGACCTAACACTTTGTCTTTGCTGTTATCGTATAGACTCACGCATATTGTTCGAGGACCTCATGACGACGTGTTTTACAAAATACTTGACGGATTGAACGACGAACTCGACGAGCTTATCTTGACAGGTCAAAAGGGATATCTGGCGTTTGATGGGACTGGTCATAAGCTAGGCGGTAGTTTTGGTTCAATTTCAGGCGATCCACGAGCCCGTGCGGTTGCAGCAGCCGAGCAGCGACGACGAAAGCAAGGAATGATGATTCCGTCTGGAGGCCTACGACTTGGTGGCAATACTTGCAAGGGCTTTTTGGAGAAAGCATCGACACCAGCACAAATGGCGGCACAGGCCGCAGAACGACGTATGCGAGATCAAAAATGGTGTGGAGGACTGCAACAGGAATCCGATTTAGGTTTTTCGTCGTCCCCCTCCTCATCTTCGAGCTCACCATCGACGTCGTCATCTTCTTTTTCTTCTTCGCCATTACCCGGATCAAAACCTACTGATGCTATTGTTATAGCCGACAGCGATGACGACGACCATCATGATGATATTAGTCGCGGACAAAAGCGTGGTAGAATCGATGTTGAAAACGTTATTACGATAAAAAAGCCAACAATTCCTGCGATCCAATCTCGAAAACCGATACCATCATCATCAACAAAATTTCCGTCATCAAAACCGTTGGAAACGGCTCTTGTCGGATGGGTTTGTGCAGCATGCACTTTTAACAACAAAGACCTAGTTTTGGCATGTACCATGTGTCTCACACAACGACCTACTATTACCATTCCTACCGCTGCCGCTGCTTTCTCGATCACGAATACATCCACTCACCGCTCCACCGATTCTATCTGGACGTGTTCACAATGTAGTTTGTACAATCCATCCTCCTCTTCCACATGCGGCGCTTGCAGCTACTCACGATAAATCGCATTTGTATATTATTTTATTCATCCTTGTCATTCCCTTTCTCCACTTTGTTTCTATTCATCATACCACTATTTAAAGAAACATATGTACATTCATCGGCTTTCTCACTGCGTTCGAAAAACCTTCGTGATAATGGTATGTTACCGCAGCCTTCGTAATAGCTAGCAGAAGATTGAATAATGTTATGTCAGTCTTAAAATGATGCCTTATCACCTTGTATAAAGTTTCAAATTAACCATGTATTTTACCTGGTCCTCTGCTGTTGGTTGGGTTACTGTTGTTGTTGTTGGGATCAGGTTGAATTACGCGTCCAAAGAAATCGGTAGCCATCTAAGATGAAAATATACATGCGTAAGTAGACTAAGAAATTGGAATTATCCATCTTATCGTTTAATATTATTACCTTGGCTGGAGCCTTATCTTCAGTAGCCTTTTGCACGATTTCCCTACAGAACCTTGCGTTAAATAAAGAAAGGTACACTTTACACATCTGAATATGGCACACAAAGACTTGACTTACTCGATGGTCGGCTTTGCCCGTGCACGCGGTAATGCACCTTCACGAGTCCGAGCTGCTTGTTCTCGACGACGAATTGTTTCAAGCTCAATCTATACGAAGTCGGTCATTGAGTGGAAGAATAAAAAAAGGGGTTCGTATTAAACGTGTATTTACCTCCTGAGCGATAAGTTGTCGAACAGCATAATGCTTAGGCAGCACTTTGCCAGTTACGCCGCCAGCTCCATCAAAGTTTATAATTTGCTCCAAAGGTCTACCATTTGTGTGTTAGTTAATGTAAATAACTGCAGTAGAAGGAAGGAAAACAAAAGCGAACTTACGGGTCAAGCTTGTAAACAAACTGTCCGTCTTCATTCTTTTCTTGCAAGAAGGTTATTCCAAATTCGATCAAGACGTCTATTAATCTTGATAAAACTTCTTTTTCATGTGGTTTGATAAGTTGTTTGTTAACCTACAAAACAGACATGAAAAAAAGATGATATCGTCAAGTATATGGTTACGTAGATGTGTCAAAAGGTTTGAAAAGTGATATCCAACTAACCGGTCGTATGTCCGGTGACATAATTCGTAATAAACGAGGTGCTAGCTCTGTTGCTATCATGTCTTTATGCAAAGTCCTTCGGCGTTTGGGATTAACGCCAGCCAAAAAGACTGAAATCAAGTTTTCATACGATTTTCTAGCAACAAATTGCTACAAAAAGAGACGTGGTTAGTATTGTTTCTCTGTATACATAAGTTGCCCGTTAAAGTCGAGTATCTTACTTCATAATCCACTCTTGGGTATTCGATACGTTCTTGTGAGGCAGAGCCGGCAAAGTATCGGTGGAAATTGATGGCGGGGTACGGGAGATAACCATAAAGACCATAGTCATGCATGTCGTTCGTGCGATGGTTGATAAGATCATAGAAATTCAGCCAATCACTCATGTGAACGATTTTTTGACATCCAATATCGTTATAGCGCATTTTCGGATAAGATTCGAAACAACCTGGTTTTTATGTATCTATTAATACCTTCATCTAGCAACCAGCTCTGTGAATATTTTACAGGCTCTTGGCCTCTTGCTTACCTTGCATAATCTTCTCAATTTCGCCGTTTGTCATAATGGAGTCCGTTAATCGTCCAAGGTAGCGGTTCTTGGTATCCACAGGCGCTGTGTACATGTACTTGTTAGGAGAAGAGGGGAAAAAAACTAATGCTACGGTATTGCCTAAATACTTTACCATGGTTTTGATGATGCGTAGCTGCCCGCTTTCGTCCACTCTCTGCTGTAAAGATTTCTTCCCATACCGAGAACAGCGATTTTCCCATATCTTTACGTCCCAAGCCTGCTTCTTCCAGCATTTCACGAGTAAATACAGAGCTTTTACCACGAATAAACTATCGTGAGAAGGTTAGAGACGAGTTTCTTGGTATCTCTGGTTGCGCAAAATATTGCTCAGGATCACACCGTCACTCAAGTTACCTGGAGCGTATTCAAACAGCTTCGAATATCACCATCCGTTATTTCAGCCAGCAAGCTCAAGGCTCGAAGATCACTTTCTAATCCTTCTTCCTCACAGATTTCCTGAAGTCGTTTGGCAATGGTCAACATAGGTATTTTTCGGAACTGGATCAAGTGTGCGACTGAACGAAGCGGGCGCAAAACTGGAGCATATCTGTAAGGAATGATATAACATGAATAAAAAGTGTCAGTAAGCAAATAATCTATGAACTTTATGCCTCTTTCGAACTCACAGGTCGTTACAAATACAAATGATGGGTCGTAAAAGTGGTGCGGTTTCCTTTCCTTTGCCTATAAATATGATTAGTAACCTCGTCAGATTTTTGATCTGCCCAAAGGAAAAAACGCCACTTACCTTTCTTTTTCGCTAATCCTACATTGATATTCCTATCATCTTTTAACTCTGCGGTTGCTAGATTAACCAGTTGCTTGATGAAACTCTAGATAATCCAAACCAAAAAAGGCAAGGTATCATTAGGATATTGCTGATCTGAAAGTAGAAAGCATATTTAAAAAGGTACAACAAGTTTACCTCGCCACCACCTCCAGAACTGGCACCATCAATTTCGTCAATAATTAGACAATTTGGCTTTTGATCCATTGACATGGTACGCGTTCCGTCATTGGTAGAGACCGGCTCTCGGATGATGGCCTGCATCTCCAGAGCAGATTTGATTTTAGATGATACTACATCACCAGTTCGATCATCACTATCGATCATTTCTAGTTAGTCACATTTGTCTTCCACCATATTCTGTCATGCTAGGTGTAATATTGATAATCATAACATACCTTGCATTTACTTCAACGATATTGTAATTAGCGTGGTTTGCTACTACGTGTGCTAACGTAGTCTTACCAAAACCGGGCGGGCCGGATATCAGCATGATCTAAAGGACGCCAGTTTTGCAAATCGTCAGCAGAATGCCAACCACACTTAACCAACTTGTTTCGATGAGTACCTTTCTATCTGGTCGAAGCAAACGGTCCTTTGGCTAAAATTAGGGGCGATGTATATCAGTTAGCACGAGAGAATGCTCATAATTTGGTTTGACGATAGGCATTTTACCTTTTCGGTCTTATTTCCCTGAAAAGAGGCCCCATTTCCTCCAAATGTGTTTTTATAGCTCTTCATGATTTTTTCACGTTGGGTTTCCGACGGTGGAGCTTTGCCAAAGACACAATAATCCCATTGCTTGACCCATTTTAATACATCTCGGTTCACGCGCTAGACATTGTCATTATCATCAATTGCGTTAGATCCGATCGTTTCTATAGAGTATTATCATGCTCTTCAATATCTGCCTAGATGTACGTACCTGATCACCCAACAAATCCAAAAATCCTTTTGGCCTGTACTTGTCGACCCAAAGTTGTTCGGTAACATAGGGTTTCACAACTTGTGTCCGCTTCCTTCGCTTTTGCTTTTTGCCATCCTGATAACTTTCATATCCTAGCCTAAATGTAGAGGAAAAGGTCCATCAGCATATAACCTCACTGTCAGATAGAATTCCCGTGCGAGAATAATTCAAAAGAGTCAAGCTTACTTTTCATCTTCCTCACGCTTTCGGACGCGCGTATTTTGTTCCTCAATTTCTTTTTTCATTCGCCAAATTGGTTTGTCAAGCAATTCCATCCGCCTATCAACGTGTCGCAAGATACCCTTGCCTTTATCTTTTTTGGTCGTCGTCGTGGATTTGGGATTGATTCTGGGGAAATATAACGTCTTATCGGTGAATGCACATGTGCTTGTAAGATAGCGGCCTGTTGCTGGAGGCTTGGTATAATCCACTTTAGGTGTTTTGGGTCTTAAAGGTGTAGGTGTAGCTATTGTTCTTGTAGGTCGTTCAGCTAGACGATTCTGGATAGTGACAAGTCCACCTGCTTCCATTGAAAAACGATGGTTTTCGGGATTAACGTTTAATCCGTTTTGTACGTTCTCGTTAAAAACACTGAATAAGGGCGAATCGTCGTCGTCGTTTTGTTCTACTGTCCCTGCAGTACTAGCCGATGCTACTGCAGCAAGCGTCGTAGCAGTGGTTATGGCAGCCGTCTTCATCGCCGGTGTATTTCCCGTTCCTTCCATGCCGTCGATTTCCATGGCATTATTGACAATGGGTGCTAATGGATAAAACAGATGATGTCAGTTCAATTTGCATATATTAACGTTGGTTCCTGGGAAGAAGAATGTCATTACTTGGTTCCCGATTGTTGCTGTTGCTCTTGAGGAATTCATCAACACCAAGAATGTTTTGTTGATCTTCTTCAATCATGGCAAGCATCATATCTTCGTCATCGTCGTCATAGCCCAACATAACTTCGCTGGGTCGTTGGGTATGGTCCATTTTCGTAAGGTGAATAATAAGAAAAATTGAAACGCGAGAAACAAAAAAACCGCGTTCGTGTTCTTCAACGCGAATTAAAAAATGTGGGCAGATCTATTTGCACCCCCCCTCGTGCACCCCCCCAGTCACTGCCCGGCCCGGATTTTTAGTTTGCACCCCCCCCTCCCACCGAAACACCTTTATTAAGCAGAGAAGGAGTTGTGGAAAAATCATTGCTATTTTTGACGAGTCTTTTTCATTCATAAAGCCCATACTATTAATCATTCCATGCAACGACAGGAACATTCAAGGCACTCATCCAGCGATTCCTTCTAAGATTTCTTTTCAAAAAATACTCTAAAATAGGCCGTGTGTGGGCGAGTAAGTAATTCTTATGCAACGAGACTAATAGTCTTAGCAACGATTTCAACTGGGATGAACAAAAACTGAAACTTGTTTTGCTTTCTTTTGCTTATAATGTAGTTGACAAGACTTGAACAAATATGCAAGCGTTCAATGCTTTCACTGGAGCTGACAAAGAGACAATCGGAATTTACAACGTAAAGATGGTAAATTAACAAAAGAAACCTGATTTTCTGTTTATTTCTTCATGCACTTTGGCTTCTTTGTCAGTATTACGGCAGTTCCCTTACAGACAAATCAGCATTGTGCTGGACGAAAAAAAATATAACTAGAGTGGTGTGATTCGAAGGCGATTGGCCGTTGTGTGGGTGGGCTTTATATGTCCGCTGGTGCAGTAACGGACTATGTGTTAAGGAGAGGAGTATCTGTGGTCGTCGTTTCTCATTTTTTCTTCTAATAGTCATCTTAAAACGACGAAGCAAATATCGATGATGAAATTGATGACTGCAACTGGTATTAAATGTCATTACACTCGAAACATTGTGTACACACTAAATACATTTGACGAACTATGCGAGTGTATCTCTGTTTTTCCCTTGGCTATTATCAGGACGGCAATATGAACTCCAACATTGAACAGACGCCATATGGATGGTCCGATATATTCAAGGAACTAAAGAGTCCAAGTAGGTGCTAAAGGGGTTGCTCCTTCTTTTGCATACACACATTGGCAGCTGACTGTTCATGCTGATATAAAAAGGGATTGTAAACAAAAATTAGAAAAATAATAAAGGAAGTGGTAACATCAAACTATCCATACAATTGAATGGCCTAGTACTTTGCAGCCTCATGGGTTCACCTTTTCCTGGTCGATGTATCCATTGGTTCAAACATGTGTATAACGGATTAATTATATGAATATCAGAAAAAGAGAGGGGGAGAAAAGTAAAGGAAAAGAAGAGAGAGAAAAGAAAGAGCGGGCAAGAAGAGACATTGTGCTACTAAAATTGATAAGGTCCAGTTAGGTCAACTGGCTCAGAATCAGAGTGTTCTGCTTCAGATCCAGATGAAAGAGAATGAGCATCCAAATTTTCTGGAAGGGGAATATCCACATGGATCATGCTTTCAAATGCGTCTTGGAATAAGGGATACCATTGATCACCTCGGATTCTGGCACCACCATCTTTGCGGCCTTTACCTCGAGCATAAGGGTAGCAGGCAGGCCATTCAATCAATGCACCCGGCCTGAGCTGGATGAAAATTATATGGTTGTGAATGAGCTGCATGACGATTGGAGTTGTACGTATCGCTTGGGATGGGGTGCTTAGTAAGGGGCAAAATAACGAGGATTCAGTGCCAAAGAATGCTATAGGCGTATTGAACGCATCCGAGGCAAGCTGAGCACACTCTGGATAGTAAAACCAATGATGCGCATTTGGATCAAGGACACTTAGCATTCTTTCAGCGTCGAACCTCTCATAAATACTTTTTCCGCGATTTTTGATAAAGAACTCGCGCATTCCGGCCTTGATATCAATATATCGTTTTTCATCTCCAAGTAAAGCAACAGCCAACGAGCGGAAACCACAATTTCCATCTGGCTTCGGATTGTGCACTAAATTCACAGCAGAGCGTGGAATTGCATCGCAGACCATGTCCAGATTTGGCACAATAGGTGGATCAGTAGACGGAAAAGGTGATGGTAAAGAAGCGGGCAAAAAGGATGACCAAAAAGGTGGCATTGTAAGTTGTTGTTGTTGCTGTTGCTGTTGCTGTTGCTGTGGTGGCGGTGGCGGTAGTGGTATGGTAGTGATGTCAGCTTTAACTTTATGCTTGCCCTCCCTTAGTAAACCTAGTCAGTACTGTATATCTAATAACAATAGAAGATCAATTACAGCAATGATTATACTGTTACTTACCAAATATCGGCTGCTTCGCGACCCGCGTTTGTTTTGGCTTTCTTGTTGCTTTCGTTCTGTTGGTGTTCCAAAGCAATAAGATCGCGCTTTGAGCTGCGCTTAGGTTTGCCTTTCGTTGGTAGAGATTTTGGCTGCTCCAGTTGCTTGATGTCCATAAAAAGATCATCGCTGATGGCTTGCAAATGGCGTAGAAGAGTTGAGCGTTGCTTTTGGTCAGGAAATCGATGCAACATAGTGGTGATACGCGTGAGCTCAGCCTCGATTTGACTCTCCATGGTGGGAGCAGAATATGATTCCGAGATCGCTAGAATGTTGCTGCTACTGTGGAGTGTTTCTTCCTCTACATAAAGTTACTACAGCTTAGTATAGCGAGTAAGAGTGGTGTTAAACTATCTATACCTTCAGGAGCTGTTTTTTTAGGATGGAGATGCCAGCGTCTAGGGATAATGCTCAAAGGAATTTTTCCTTTAGACGGTATCATGTGACAGCAAGGAATTCCGTAATGAGCTTTGATTGCACATCGACAGTTGTCGGTTCTTAGCGGATTTGGATATACAAGCTCCTTGCGAATTGCATTGAATGCGAACTTCGATATGTGGCGCTGTAAATCTACCAGCCTTTCCTTTTGACTTGGCGGGATATGGGAGTTTACACCGAAATGTTCGCTATCCAATTGACGATCCCAACTTAGATTCTGCACAGGCAAATCAACACACAGCGAATACGATTAGCAATTAATGTGCGTAGAATAGGATTGTAGGTAAATATCAAACTACCATATATATATATAATATACGAATGTATTGTACCTTTAATCTGTAGAATTCATCGATTTGCTCAAAAGCAAGGTATAGGTTACCACTGGCGGACTGTATGGCCTTCTTCATATTGGCGTGCGTTCCTTCAACTCTGTTGGTGGTACTATTCCCAAGATGCTTGACATCTGCGAGGTACCGTCCGACCCATTTTTCTTTATTAGAAAGCTTACTGCAAGCGAAAGTATTACACATAAGTATAGTGTCCAAGCAAACGATCTCCGTTAAAAATCCAATATATAGTTACCTCTCGAGATATGCTTTCACTTCTTCCGGCTTTTTTGCTTTCATTGCAGCCTCATTGTACATGCCGATCGCCTTTTGCTCGAATTCCTCATCTGGAACCAGCCGCTTGTTCTGGAACTTATCATCATATTCATCAGCCATCAAGTAGTTGATGGCTTTCAGGAGCGCTTCAAAGTCCTCTTTAACTTCAAAAAGTTTCTGCAGCTTGACTTGAAAATTGCGTCTGATGTGGTTGGTACAGAGCAATTTCTTCGAGTTGGGGAATACGTGATCCAAGGCTTTCATCAACGCGGATTCGCTGTCAGTTACAAAGACTTTCGGGGAGACTGGCTGCTCAGCTGGCCAGACAACTTGCTCAAGCTTTTTGACAAACCAGTCGTAGCTGTCATTCGTTTCTTCAGACACCCATCCGCCAGCAATACAGAACGTTTTCAAGTCTGGATAACCAACATTGCCTGTACCAACGACATTTACAAAGGGGAGCCGATGTCTGTTTGTCTTGTACGTGGCATCCATGATTATGGTTTCAGGGAATTGGCGAGCAAGTGAAATTGCAGAATGATGCGCAAAAAAAAGAGAGTGCAAGAACCGTTTTTCGCCATCTTGCTTCGATTCCCACTCAACGACGTAATCCTTGTCCTGTAGCTTGCTGATAAGCTTGAACATGGTATGGTCGGGATCGTTGTTGAATACCATCTGTCGCATATTCGTGATGTCCTTGGGGCTGACAACCGTTTTGTTAGCAGCAAGGTATGACACAATTGCAGTATTACTGGCGTGCCCTTTGATCATGCTAAGAACAATTTCGTGCTGCTTCCCATCGAGCTGACGAAGCATTGGATACGACGAGAGCTCCTTTGCAATCTCATGATTGTGTTCACCGTCGTAAAAAGAGACAACGTGCCATTGCTGGCTAGCCTTGCTCAATGGCCGCAGCTTGATCTCAAACTCGCATCCAATTCGCTGGGAGTCTTTCTCGCGCCGTTTCTTGCTGTCCTTGCTGTTGGATCGAATGACATCACCTTTGTCGTTCGCCAATATGGTTTCTACTGTCGTAGTTTTGCCATCGTCATATACCTCTTGATTGGTAGGTTGTCCAAAGTGCTTGCAAACAAGACGGAGGACTCTTTTTTCTCCTGTACGCGTACTTTTCAAGGTACGCAGGGAAACCTTGCTCTTTTTCCCCCAGTCGACGCAAGCTTGCTTGGCAGAGTCAAAGTCGTCATAAGTGACTCGCAGTTCTTCAGGAATTGCACTTGTAGTTTTTGACATTGCGATGGAAATGAGTTGAGAGATTTAGAGAAGTATGCTTGTTTGTTTATGGGAAGTAAAAGAAGCAATTTTTAAGATACGCTCCAATTTCCATTGTCACTTCCTGAGTACTATGTAGTACCAAACATGATGCGAACGACACGATAATGTAGAGGTCAATGTGTCTATGGACTATGTATATACGGACTATGTATGTAGATAAATATACTGCTATTTGAAGGATTTTGCATTAATGCAGTCTCAGTTTCATATGCATTATGTAAGACGTGTCAAATCAAAAAGTTTATTTTCTTTTGTTTGTTTAATTATCCTCTTGGCCTCACTTTCTTTTCTACATCATTTTTCAGTTCCATCATTAGCATATTACTCGCATATTCTGTCCATGCATCTAGGACAGTTTTCTTTATACAAGCAAGTAGCAGTTGCCGGTGCTATATTTCATTGTGCGTGTGTGTGTCTCCTTTCTGACAATTTACGTTGAAAAAGGCAAATGCATACATTTAGTTTATAGCTACTCATTTTATGTTACTTGATACGATGCTAATGCTTCGTTCTTCAATCTTGTGTTGAATTGCTTCAATTCGATCTGTGATTGAGGAATGTGGATGAAGTGGTGTGCAAGAATTGGTTCGATGAAGGGGGGTGTACGAAATGGTTCGGTGGGAGGGGGGGGGGTGCAAACTAAAAATCCGGGCCGGGCAGTGACTGGGGGGGTGCACGAGGGGGGGTGCAAATAGATCTGCCCAAAAATGTAGATATCCCTCCGAATTATATTCATTTCCGCGGATACGGTTTTGCGGATGGATACATATAGCATAAGCCAAAATGTTCCAGTGACTCGTATCGTGTTAGCTCTCAGTAGCCGCTCTCCAAGGTTTCTCTTCAGCTATGAAAAAGCAAATTTACGCTGATCGATACATAATTTTGAGCTAAAGAAGCTTCACCATATCGTCAGCGTCAACTACTAACATCATCTTTACCACAGACAGCACTGACAGCATCACTGGTAGTTCAATAGTGATCTTTTACATCGCGTATGAAACATTGCATATGCTACAGTGCTACTACGATGATACACATGGCATAATTAAACAACTTTGATTTTAAATACTTATTGCACCCTCTCATACACAAACAGCATTGTGTTTTTGTAAGTGGGATGTATGACCGATATGGTTTTACTTGGCAATGTATGAGGATCCAGACTGAGCGGGATGATAAAGCATGACTGATTCAGAGTAAGCGCTGAGCCTGAGAAGGATGGCGTTAATTGCTGTTTCCTCACACACCACATAACAATATATCGACCTGAAAAACACAGTAGCAAAGCATCAACAAAAGAGCTTGCTGCTATAAACCAATTTTTAACTACTATGCTCAAACTGCTGCAGAGAGGAGCAGTGAATGTTAGTTTAAAAGGAGACACAAAGCGAATCAAAAGTGGCAGTTCAACGTGAAGGCCACACCAGCGGAACACACTGCCCCCGTTCAGGTACATTTATTAACATATAGCAGAGTCGTAGACTATCTAATGGAACAAAGGACACGATGCACAGAGAACTTTAACGGCGTTCTACAGTAACGTGCAAGCCATTCTTCATGGGGCACGTCAACGACGTCTCGTAGGCCACTTTTTGATCGGGAACAAGCGAGAACTTGTAGCGTTTCAATATCAGAGCCAATGCTACAATGGCCTCGAGCTTCGCTAATTCCTGACCTGTTATTTAACAGAGTACCTTAGTAAGCCATAATTATAATCATCAATATAAGGAACAAACAAAAGGTAGAAGCATAATACCTAAACACACACGCGGTCCGCCATGGAATGCTGGGAATTTGCCTTGAGACTCGCGACGCAACGTTCCATCAATTTTAATCCAACGCCCTGGAACAAAAGACTTGGCATCCGGACCCCAGACCTTTTCCGACCGTCCCATTGCATAAGGAGACCAAGACACCTCCATACCCTTCTTGACGTGAGCACCATCTGGCAGAATATCATCTTCGATCGCAACCTTGCCGTTGGAAGGGACTGAGGGATATAAGCGCAGCGTTTCGTAGAATCTGCGTAAAGAATATGAAATCACGGAATTGTTGTTATTATTTCACTCATTATCTGTGCACAAAAAGCACCTTTGCATATTAGAGTAAAACAGCATACTATGGTATACCATATACACATACACTGCATGCGCGTAAGGCAGCTTCTTGACAACCTCATAGAGCTCTGGTCCATCCAATACCTTGGCATCTGGAAGAACTCGATCGATTTCCTCGACCAATTTCTCTTCGATACGTGGGTGCAACAATACGTTATATAATAGCCACGAAAGAGCTTGAGCAGTCGTGTCTCTTCCAGCAATGATAAAATTTAATATCATGTCCCGTAGCTCAACGTCGTCCAATGGTCGGCCTTGTGTATTGCGAGCGCTCATGAACCGTGCCATCAGATCATTGAATTCACCACCTTTTTCTACCTGTTCACGGCGCTCGCGGATCAACGAATACGTAAAATCGTCCACAACCTGGATATGGTCTTTGATCCGCATAGCACCTGGTTGAAAAACGCCCTTGAGCACATCGAACAAGTCGGTGAATGGGTTGATGAATCGGTCCGAGCAGTTGCGCTGGCAGATATCAAAAGATTCGGCAAAAGGTACTTTCTTCTGGCTTAATAGTGAATTGAGCTTTTTACCGAAGCCAATCCTACATGTTAATATATAGTTATCGAAAAGTCCATAGTTACTGTAAGCGTATACTTGGTATGTGCGTATGTTTGAGACAGCATACACAACGACATAAATTGAAAATTACAAGGCAACACTTACAGAACAAACGAATCGAGTGTATATTTGTAGATCACATCATGAAAATCGACTGGCTTTCCACTGGATGCTTTTTTGTCGAAAATGTTGTTTGCCATGACGTCAAACTCTTCCACAAATACTCTGCATAACTTGTTTAGTTCTTTCATGGCGCACAACTGCTGCTGCTAGTGCAGCCGACCATAACAAATATTTTTAAAACACTCACTTTACATAGTGATCCCTGAAATTAGCAACGTTAAAGATAAGACTCGCCGCTTTTCTTTGGAAACGCCACTGCTCTCCATCAGCTGTAAAGATACCATGGCCGAACAGGTCTTGCATTGAAGAACTGATACAATTTGAGTATTTTTGTTATTGTTATTACAAGAAGCACATTAATGAGATAAAACATTTCTTTGTCGAAAGAGCCAAATGGTTGAATAGAAATTTAATGTATCAGTATCATTACTTACAGTTGCTCAGCGCCCTTGATGTAATTAGAAAAGTTGTCTGTCAAACAAAACATATTACAGTTATGACAGCCTCCCGTGAGTATACTCACTATCACTATGATCATCGTTTGATACCACAACTGTTGCTACTGCTACTTACTCTTCAAAACATGTTCGACGTTCAAAGGGTTAATCGTTAATATACTTGACGAAGAGCCAATAGAAGAACTACCACTACATATAGTTGTATATCGTTGCTATCTTGGTTTATCACGAAACGAAGTACAAGAAATATAATGATTATATAGAAAAGAAAAACTGCATGTAGTAGCAAGCAGTTACTCCATCCTACTACTATGACTACTGCTACTTACATTGTCATCGTATTGTGTTTTTCCATAAGGTGCAAAAACATATCATGAAAGTCATCTTTGTGCTTGATTACATCAAGCAAACTACCGAGCAAAGGCAGGCTATGCTCAAATGGTGCGCCCTTGGGACGTTCGGTAAAAATAGCACGATCGTTGTATTTGAGAACTAGGAGTCCGAGTGTCGCAGCACAGGCCAGGGCTGCTGCACGTCCTGCAGGAATGGAACCAGGCAAGGTGATATCGCTGGGTACAAACGAGGAGAATTGCGCTAGTGATAGAGGCATGTTAGAATTTCGGATACGGATGGTAGCCCCATTGTATATATATGCTAACCACCACCCGGCGGGAAGCGCCGAGGTCCGAGCGGATCCTTGGTGCACCCCGCCATTACGTTGTTTCTCAGCGCTATTTCAAGCGTCCTTGTGAATAAATTGCTTGCCCCTCTTTTGGGGGTCACGCTCTGCCACCACCACCAGCAAGGATAAGTTTAAAATAGATTAATATAGTCACTGTGCTTCCTCTCACACAGGAATGACTGAGCCCATATGTTGCACATGATTGTATAGGAGCTTCCAAAGCGTTCGCCAGTGTTTGTCGTAACAAGTGCAAGTGCATATATAAACTTAGTAGGCCAATGACATTTTTTTCTGACGATGTGCAGCTTTGAAAATTCCCCAAATGACCTTATCCAGTGTAACCTTTTTTGTAGATGAGAAACGGTGGCACGTGGCATACGTGTGTAACGCATGTCCATTGCACTTGCGAAAGCCATCATGTTAGTGATTCAGGTACTGTATACTATAACAACGTCATCGCACATTTCCTTGTCGTCTGTCTCTTTGTACGGCCCAGCTTAAGCACCAGCTCGTCGACAATTTTAACATAACACCAACTACTTAATACCTGGCAACATATGATCAGTCCAAACATACAACAACGGTCGTTCATCCTGGGCGATGTCAACCTCTACACCAACACACCATAAACATCCCAACCACCTGGCGCTCCTTCCTGCAACAGCATTATCACAACTGCATCATCCCATAAGGACATGTCCCTCAACCTACTTTCCATCGTTCAGCTACCCGAGCTTGCATTAACTATATTTTCAGCAGCTCGCGAACGTCGAAGAACATAACCCAATTTTCGTTTGGAGACCTGCAAACACGGCCCAGACATACGTCATCTCAGTCCAGTCGAGGCATGGATGCCTTTCCTTTTTCTTTCTGGCGTTGTGCCTTCAAACACACATACGCCAAACAAACCCGCCGTTCAGGTATACGACGCTGCTTTGACAGAGGGTATTCCCCCGCCAGCCCCCTCGTGGCAGCACACTGGTTTGATCTTGTTGCCAAAAAACAATTGGCGTCCAACTTCTATTTACACAACTTCTCTCTCGCCGCATGACCCTGGATTCCATCATCAACCCGTTTTAAACAGGTTTCATGACAGGCCGACTAATCGCAGACAATGGTCTTCTCGCCCACCCGGCCATGTCACACGTACAAACACAAGCACAACAGCAGCACCCCGGAGTGATCTTCCTATGGCATCAGAAAAAAGCATACGACCGCATTGCTCCTGGATATCTGGAACAAATCATCTGTAATCTCTATTTTATTCTACTCAAATTCATATGACCATCAATGGACCCTTCACACAGCGTCCGTGGCCTCGGCCTCCTAGACCCCAAAACACAACAGCTAGCACTTCAATCCCGGTGGATCAAGGCCTTTTTTAACATCATATCCACCTTCATTCATATACTCCAACATCGTATTCGAAACGTTACAATACTCGAATACAATTTCATGCTTTCTTTATGTCCGCCAGTATATCATGCTTTCAGTCACCTCTGGGCATCCTCTTTGGAAAACCTACCACAAAATGTTACCACCGACTCTATTTCACACCGCCAATCTGCACATCACGCCAGGCACAGCCCTACTTATTCCACTCCACCTCCACTCAGGAGTTACACAAACTACGCACTGACGCTCTATTCACAATAGAATTTTCCGGAAGTTTGCGCGTTCGTAGCCCTCGTGAAATCACCTCTCATCGCCAAACAGCCCTTGCACTTTGCCAAGCTTTGCTTATAAACCAACTTCACCTTACCTCAACTGGTTGAACACGCTTCGACGCCCAACAGCCTCTAGCTGTCCAGCCACACAACCATTGGAGGCCAGCATTTTACACCACATCCCCATCCACAAACAACAGCAGAATCGACAGAATACTATTTTGTTTTCTATTTTCCATAAACAGCGCGTCTGGCGCGTCAATTGATATAGGGGAAAGAGTGTCTGGAGTCTCCAGGACATCTGGACCTTTCAACAGCATCTTTCAGCAACCCGATCCGACCACCATTCATCACCACCGTCAGCATTGCACTGTCTGGCGTCATCACTGGCGTGCAGCAATTGATTATAGACCATTTCAAACAGGCGCAGTTGCCAAAATTACCACCACTAAGCGACAGGGGGCAGAGAGAGAGGGAGAGAGCAGTCCATCCGGATGATGGGTAAGCCTGACCTTATTACTTGGGACAACATTCATTTTCCCTATCCCCGAACTACTTTTCCACCCCAGATTTTAACGGAGTGGTTTTTTCCTTACCTCCACTACTACAATTAAACATTCAAGAAAAAAGGCTCTCTCTCAAAAAGGCATATATTACAGCGACCCCTTTCTCTCCCGTTTATACGTACAGAGAACACATACACGCCACGCAAAAAAAATAAAAGAATAGATGGTTGACGGAGTAAAGTAGACAGCCATACATACATACATACAAACAAAAACAAGAATATGTGTCCATTGTTATTGTTGTTGACCTCGTGCCGCTGTGTGTTGGTGTATTAATATATAGGGTGGAAACTTTCTCACTCGAAGACATTCCGCTGGCGATGCCCTCCGATCAAGCAACTCATCAACACGCATGGCTTTTTCCTCGTCGTCGACGTCGTGGTCATCCTACAACCCACCTTCGAATCCTACCCATGAATGCCGAGAATTTAACGCTCCCGAAGGCATCTATCAACTTGCCCACCAAGCTTTCTTCAGGTCACTGACGCCTCACTTTGGCATTGGTTCAACTGCCACTCTTGTCTCGATCAAATACAAAGAAACGACACCCAATTACCTTCAACGTTATGAGCCTCAACCCGGGGCACGCTCATTTCGTCGCATATTTGCATCTTCGTCTTCTTCTGGTTCTCACGTCCATAACCATACACATTCAGACGAAGGTGGTGGTGCCGGTAGTAGTTCTCGTACACCTTCTTTGTCCAGCAGTTCGTCAAGCTATAACAGAAATATAAATAACAACAGCAAACATCATCACAACAGCAACAGCAATACGCCTACAATGAATATTTTTACTGGCTTGTCCACACCTGTGTCTCCCTCCTCTGTTCCCGAAGGCCACGCAGTCAGTAATAACAGTAACAGCATACCCAGACTCGGTTCTTCTTTGGAAGGCCCGTCATTTTTATCCACCTCGCCCCCTCATATCCTTTCACCGTCACCATCCACAAGCACGACCTATAGCACAAGCAATTATACGCATCATACGATTACTACTACTGCTACTACCAGCAACAACAACAACAACAACAATAGTAGTAGTAGTAGTAGTAGTAATAGCACTAGTAACAATAATAACGGAGGTGGATTCTCGTTCTTGTCTAGAAACACTTCAGTCAACACCCGCCGCAACAAGTCCTGGACAACTAATATCACAAAGACAACATCTAGCTTTGTCAGTCGGATCATCACCAATGGACAGCTTGCCAAGATCTTGGTTGCTAGGACGAGCGAGGATACGAATTTGTTCTATAACTGTGGGAATAGTTTTGTGTGGGTTGATGCATTTGGTCATCCAAAGGTAGAACTTTTAATAATGATGGAATTGCTCTTTTTTTTTTCTAGAAAGACAATGATAACCCAACTGATATCTATAATGTAGGAACCGCTCTCGCGTATTATTTTTGCCAAAGCCTATCCAACTGCCCACGACGTGAACTTGTTGACGAGAGGATCGGATCATCTGGACATCATCATCGGGTTTTCGTCGGGTGACATTGTATGGTTCGATCCATTATGCAACAAGTATGGCCGGATCAACAAGGGCGTAAGTTTTATATTGATCATTCAGGCTTGCTTGAAAAACGCTAGTACTTTTTGTAATAACTATTCTTGTTTGACCCAGGGTATCATGAATTCATCAGCTATTACCATGATCAAATGGTTACAGGGCTCAGAATCTCTATTTATGGCAGCGTTTGCGGACGGGTCAATGATGATTTTTGACAAGGACAAAGAAGACGAAGCTTTTCATCCCACAACGGCTGGCACTGGTAGTGGGATCACTACGACAACGACTACGACGACGACGACGACGACGACACCTCCCATGATCAACCGACGCAAGCATTACAGCACTGGAAGCCTACTTATTCATCACAACAATAACTCGAATGCTACCATGGAATCGCAACAAAAGTTTACGTAAGCTGTTGTTCCAAGGGCGCTGGGGGTCATGTGCTTGTACACACACACACACAAAGAACGAAAAAACTGACTTTACACCCTTTTCTAGTTTCCGGGTAACCAAACCGTCTCCCAAGGCCGCCATGAAGTGTAACCCAGTAACCCATTGGACGCTCTCTTCAAAATCGGTCACTGGTAATAAAAGCCATAATGATCGCTTTTCACAAAAAAAAAAGAGTGTGAAACACAAGCTAAAAAAAAACCTATCTGTAAAAAAAATATAGCGTTTGCATTTTCGCCTGATTGTCAGCATGTCGCAGTGGTTGGATTGGATGGATTGGTTCGAGTCATCAATTTTGTTCATGAAACGTAAGCCGTTTGATCCTTGGTTTCCAAGCAGCAAAACAAAACAAAACTAAACACACACACCTCCTCTATTGAATACTACTACTTATAGGCTGTACGACATCTATCAATCTTACTATGGTGGATTGAGTTGCGTAGCATGGAGTCCAGATGGCCGATATATACTTGCAAGTAGTCAAACAACAACGAGAAAGCAATATAGCCTTTACGATTAACCGCCCCCTCTCTCTTTATTTATTGTGGCATATAACTAATATGTATATATGTAGACTGGTGGCGAGGACGATCTTGTCACGATATGGGCGTTCCGTGAACAGCGCATCATTGCACGATGTCAAGGCCACAGTTCATGGGTCACTGGCGTCGCATTTGATCCATGGCGTTGTGACGAGCGGGTCTATCGATTCGCCAGTGTGGGTGAAGACGCCAAGCTAATTTTGTGGGACTTTTCAGTGAATGCGTTACACCGGCCAAAGATGGTAATTAGAGAAAGCAAAAAAAAAAAACCGTCGATCCTTGTTTGTTTATTGTCCTACATGACCAGTACAACAACAACAACAACAACTAATTTATGCGTCTCCATCAATCTGTGATCGTCATTAGAGAACGGCTACAGGAGGCAGGCACCGAGGTAGCTCTGTTTCATCGCAGCACAATGGTGGACCTCCGGTCAATCTACTGAGCACCATGCAGCAGCAGCAGCAACAACAACAGCATGACCAGCAATCACCGCCGACGATCCATCCGATCCAGTCGAAAAATCAAGTTGCATTTCTACAGCCCACCATGGTCAAGACTGTCCATGCGGATCCATGTGTAGGCGTCTATTTCCGTGAGGATGTGATTGTGACAACGGATCGAAAAGGTCGCGTCAGTGTTTGGCAACGGCCTCCACCGTCTGCGGCTTCTTCACAGGCCTCCTCCTCCGATTTGCACCGTTGAAGAAAACTAGTGTTCCTATACTATATTTGTATACATCTGCATATCATAACCATACTTTCTCTATCAAACCTAGAACTCTCCCCTTTTTTCCGTTTATACTATTCAACCCCCCAAAACTTTCTCTGTGTTCGGTGCTGCGAACCCTTGTTCTATTCTCTATCGCGCTTGATGTGGTGATCTAGAGTTCCATATTTATATTTCCTCAGTAAATCTTAATTTACGTTTTCTGCTGAAAGGTGGAGGTAATGATGGCAGAAAAAGAGAGATAAATGGTTTATTATATGATAATAGTAATAATATAATAAATGTATTGTGGTACAAGTTCTTCAACGGGGCGGGGGTGTTTAAAGAAAGAGAGAGAGACAAGTCCCAAATAGATAGAATTCAAGGAGTAAAGAGATTATAGAAGAGCGGTGTAAAGGTGGGAGGGGATTAAGGAGAGGTTGTAATGTAGCTGTACGACGACTCAGTTTCCTTTGGGGAAAAAGAAGGGCACTGTGTAAGGACACAAGTCTTTATTTTTTTTTCTTGTTACAACATGATGGCAACGCCCGCCACGATGGCCAGAGCCCAGAGGGCCTTTGCCGTCAACTGTTGATGATGCATCGACGGAGCACTAGCAAAGACGCTCATGTCACCGCCACTGCTGCCCGTAGCGGATGGATGGCTTGAAGTAGCAGCGCTCATAGGACGGATTTCAATGGGGACAGACAAGTCGGTGTTGGTCGACAAGTCCTTAAAGACCACATCATAATTGCCCGGCGTTGCGGCCTTTGGGATGCTGTAATTGATCGAGTGCTCGTAATACGTCATGTTTCCATTCTGTTTGGCTGAACCATCGGTTTTGGACACATCGGCACTTTGGGCAATCACCATGGTCGTTGGTGCTGTTGTTGTAGAGTTGCTTGTTGTTGTTGATGATGTTGTTGTTGTTGTTGAAGAAGAAGAAGAGGAACTGGCAGCAGCAGGTGGAGACGATGCGCCTCCGGAAACAGGCTCAAGGACGATCTGTAGTTGAAGTGCTGTTTGTGTAAAATTGATCAGCTCCCTCTCTCTCTCTCTTTCTATCTCTTGTTTTGCATTGTTTGCAAAGAGGTGTGTGGTTTTTTTTTTCTATTTATTTACATGAACTGTCGACTTCGGAAAACAGGACGTAGGTACAAGGCAGAATCTGGCCTGCGACGTACGGACCGTTGCTGACAGGACTGGTGACATTGAAGTTTTTCATAGGGGCGGTCATCTGAGCCATAGCACCACCGGCGGCTGCCATCAACGCCATAGAAAGTGCCTTGATCATCATCATCTTTTTTTTTCCTACAAGCCTAAACTGTGATCAAAGAGAGAAGAAGAAAAAATATGCAAAAGAAGAAAGAAAAAGAAAATGGGTGAGCGAGATCTAAAATACAGAATCATTCGGATTGAAAGGAAAGGAGGAGTGGGGGCCGGGATGGGGAGGGGGGGGTGGGGGTTGTGGATAATAAGGGAGGGAGATCAACGCAGAGTTATTGCTGCCGCTGCTATTTTTTAACCTCTCTCCTAAAACCCATTCAGGCTGTCCCGCCGTATGCTAATAAGCCTAGACTCTTTCTGTCCCGGGCCCTTACAAGGTGTACATGAGATACACGAACAGAAGCAAGCAAAGATAAATACGAATGTTCTGATAAAAAAAGAACAGAGAGACAAAGGGGGCCACCCTTTCTGTCTACCAGTATAACTTTATTATTGGGTCTCGAACTCCAGCAACAACAACAACAGCAATAACAACAAACAGCATATATCACGGAAGGGGAAGGATGGGAAACAGGCAAAGCAAAGATATTAGCAGTAGTGGGGAGAAATAAAAAAGAAAAGCAATAACTCTTTAACTATTAATAAACGCTATATTAAAAGGCATTTCCCTAGAGCGCCATATACCACGCGAATGCCATTGCCAGGGCTGCAGAAACCGCTCCGCTCACTTGGACCTTGGAAGCTGCAGAAGGTGCAACTGACGAAGAAGAGGGTAGAGGCATTGATGCGGATGATCCTGTTGAGCCAGAGGGCATCATGGGAGGTGGCATTACGCCTGCCGATGAACCAGCGACAGGCGGAAGTGGAGAAGCTGCCGCGACGCCTACAGGATTTAAAATGATTTCTGCTTAGTGGAAAGTGTCCGTCTTTACTTTGGTCTACTCGAAAGACATTTAGTTTAGTTTTTACCTGCAGAAGACAAAGCAGAAGAGGCTTGCTCAGGCAGATCACTGGCCGAGGGCACAGCGGTGGGAATACCCGAGCCATCGCTGACCAAAGAAGACCACCAGTTGATATCTGGAATAGACGTGTTGGGCTGAGGCATGTCGGTTGCAGCAGCAGCTCCACCGGAAACACCGGCTGCTGCTGGATCGGTAGGCGTAGGTGCTGCCGCATCAGCAGCACCATCACTGGCACCAGCAGCACCAGCAGCACCAGCAGCAGGATCTTCTTGTTGTTGCGTCTGTTGATCGGATGAGGCGTCCGCTGTAGTTCCATCGATGGCTTGTTCAGGAGCAGCATCGCCAGCAGCAGCATCAGCTAAAATGATACCAGTATGCGTAAGTATTGTACTTTTCTAAATGCACATTCGAGTCTTAATTACTTTGGGCATAAGCAGTAGCAGCCAAGCCGAGAATCAAGAGAGGTGTTTGGATCTTCATGATGTTTATTTGTGTCTTTCTACAATGTTGTTATTGTGTGTGTGTGTGTGTGTGTTGAGATGAGATGAATAGAAAAAAAAGAAGAGAGAAACTTTCTCCTGTTTGTAAGTGCGCCCTTTTTATATGGTAGCTGGGAGAGAGAGAGAGAGAGAGAGGACAGCATCATAACCCGTTTGACGCCATGTACAAAAAACATGAGCCAGAATATAAAGCAATGTAAAGTGATCGTCCTGTCTGGTCTCCTAAATGCATGAAATATCAAGGGAATTTTTCTTCCGGGGGGGGGGGTGGGTAGGTAACGTGAGGTGTTTGGAGGATCAACATAGAAGAGGACACACGGAGCGAGAGAGCGAGTGAGTACATGTGTAATGATGGATAGAGAAAGACTGAAGGAGGAGGAGGCAGTTGCTGGGGGGGTTGGGCGGGTGGGTGGGTAAAGGATAGATGGGTGTTCCAGACAGGTTCTGTTCTTTTTGTTGGGGTATGTATGCAGTCTTTATTTTTGAGGTCGCGGCAGTAGCGCTGGAGTGGCGATCTTCCAGGCTTCCTGATCCGTGTTCCTTGGTGAGATGGGTGGTGGTGGTGATGCTGAAGCCAGGAACGGATTCGTAGCCTCATCGCGCTTTCTCTCCGCTGCATCTTCTTCGCGCTGCAGCTTTTCCGCCAAATCCTTGTCCTTTTCAACCTGCTGGAACTGATGCCATAGGCGCTGTAACTCTTCCTCACCCAAGTTTGGTGGTGTCCAGTCTTCATCATCGTCATCATCAAAATCTTCTTCGCTGCTGCTGCCCGCATGTTGTTCTTCATTGAATCGACTGGATATACTAAGCATGGATGCTTGATCGATCTCCTTTGGAGGGTGCTGGTGCTGGCGATTGCCCTCTTCTTCTTCTTTTTCATCGTCATCGTCGTCGTCTGCTGCTGCTGCTGCTCCATTCGTTGCAAAATATGAGTCTGAAGACGAGTTCCTTCGCATGATCGATGGTGTGCTCGGATCAGTTCGCCATGACCGGTTCATCAAATCGCCCCACTCGGCCATCAGTGATTCATCCTTCATGATGGCTTCTTCGGTAGCTCGATCCTGAGCCATCAGCGTCTCAACCACGATGGTAGGATCTTCATCCATGTCTTCATCGCCGACAATGACGTCCACTGTTGGCGTTGTGGATGCTGTCGACTTGATTTCTGTCTTGTTGACCCCTTGCATAAGCATCATCCCATACATTGCCAATCCACCAAAGAATACGAGCACGTTGACAAGGTTGCGGAATGTCATTGCTTGGTATCCTACATATCCAACTGCCAGTGTCACAACGACGCCACCGCTTGTCATCGCCGCGAGTGACATTGGATTGCCTGTATACAATAAAGTATGCATGTGCATTTGTTGCGCCGTGAGTATCTTTTTTTTTTGTATTGTATAGTTTCTGCTAAAACGGATATGAATCTCCCGTATAAGCATCCCCTTGAACACGCCTCTTTTTCTAAAAACTCTATTCGCTGACTCCTTAATACTAGATTTCTTCTCTTTGTGGTGGCGCTTGTATATAGCCCCGAAATTGTACAGAATTCTGCATGACCAACTTTATTCTTTTTGCTCTTACCTTTACAGTATTTGCTGTTCCATTCATGCAAGACAGTCCAAACATTACTGTCTCTTGATGTGCTCTCCGTACTGCTACTAAGGCTCTTAGTGGTGCTACCCGGCAGTGGTTGTTGTTCTTGAGAAACAGACCAAGGAGAAGCAGGCAAAGATGATGCAGTAATGCCGCCAGCAGTAGGAGGTGGTGAAGGCAACCGTCGTGGAGTAGGTATGCCATCGCCATCATCGCTGCTGCTACAACCGTCACTATCCTTGACATGGAACGGAGCCGGTGTCTTGACATCAGTACCGGAATCCAGAGGTGGACTAATCCCATGATCATGACGAACAGTGCCTGTGCCGCCGCCACGATGTACAGTTTCCATATCGAGTGGTGGAACCGTCCTTTGTGCAATAAATGTAGCACCCACCCAATCAGGGAGTACGGGCACGGGCGGTACATTGTCCCCATCGTCCCCTTTGCCAACAAAAGCGCCGTCACTCGATACTGAATTCGACCTCTCTTTGCTGTTGTGGACCACCATCTGCATTGTAAATAACGCCTGAAACTCAATGAGAAATTCAATGACACGCTGAGAGATCTTGTACTGCACCGGGGTGTTGTGCGATGGATGGCTCAACACGGCCGGACAAAACACAGCAGCCAGGTTGCTCGCGTCCATACGATTGTCTTCCGAATGTCGTGCAAATAGATTGAGCATATCCAGCAGATACAGCAAAAGCTGCTGGTGTGGTAGCGGGAGTTTTCCGATTAGGATTTGAAATGCATCGATTCGCTCTTCGATCGAGTCGTAAGAGTTGTCGTCTGTAGAAACAAGCGTTATTCTTTCATGCTTTGTACGACTCAACGACTTCTTTTATTCAAAGTCAGATCATGAAAATTTCAATACAGATACTTGCTCATCACATCGCGGAATGGCTGATAGTATTCGTGGATGATCACCGGATCCGGTAATTGGTTCAGATAGCGTCTAAACAGTGTGGCTGCGTCATGCACGGTAAGGCCTTCCCAATCAACGCTTACTCCGTACGATGGTTTGTTGAATGTTTCTTGCAGTGCTGCCACACGCTTCAAACTTCCTGACAATCGAAAGATCCCCTCTGTTTGCAGTGCTATTGTTGTTATTGTGAGAAAGGAGTAGAAGAAGAAGAAATATACTTCTTTGGTATCCATCTACTGTACCGTTGCTCTTGAGAAAAAGACCACATTTAGCCACAACGGTGGGGATCGCGCCAGCCTGTCGATAAACAGTTCCATCTTCATCTTGATAGCTGATCGTTTGCCGCGCGTATTGGATGGATTCGACCAACGGTACGCCAAACACGGCTTTCAACATAAACAGTAGAGCCTTTTTAGCCCTCTTTTTCTTTGGAATTGATAAAGAGCCCCCCCCCCTCTGATACAATAGGGTACCTCGTGGTTCTGTAAACGGCGCCCCGACGCCTTCCCGAGGCGTTACTTTTCTGACGCTTCCTTTGGGAGTCACCTTGCGACGAAGCCAGGCGCTGAAGGATCGTCGTTTGCTGATTGTTTTTCTTTGTTGTTGTTGCTGCTGCTGCTCCGTTTGAGTTTGTGTCATTTTCTACAGTATTGCGTTGGTTCGTTTGTCGTCGTTCGTAGTGGTGGGCGTTGGATGATCAATAAGAAAGGGATTTGTTTGACGAGGTAGAGAGAGAGAGAGATGTGAAAAATAGGGTATATTCAATAAGCAAAAAGTCAAAAAGTAAAGAAGAGAAAGAAAGAAGGTAAACACAAAAAAATGCGGACCAAGCCAAATTTAAAGAAGGTGTTTAAGGATGTCATGAAGTAACCTTTTTCTCCCAAAGGGAAACCATGTCAAAATAAGAAAAACCGCGATCAAGTTACACGAAGGGGAAAATTGTTAGTGTGTGTGTGTGTGTGCCAAGCATACAAAATGTAAGCTGGTCTTGTGAAAGCCTTTGTCTCTTTTGTTGGATCATGACGGGATGGTTGTTTTCAATGTGGATCCAATGTGAAGACCATACGTTATGGCTTTTATCTTTCGACGACGATTACCATATACGTACTACTTAGAAGAACACTCCTTCATGTTCGGTTACCATGCTGTACACCTATTGAGCACACGTGTTTACCAATAAGCGCTACTATATCCCCAAAAGAAAGGCTTTATGCACCGTTGTAGTGGAAATTAACCAGCAAGCAGCAGCAGCAGCAGCAGTGGTGACGTTGTATGCATGTATACTGCTTGTGATCACTCGACCCGTAGTAGAATTTTTCACACCTTCTTATTCTGTTGTTAAACAGAAAGGCTTTGAACGTGCATAAGTCCTGTACCTCAGCCTCTCTGCTGCTATCAATACATTAGCCACTAACGCCGGAAACGTACATAGAGCACACTTGGCCTGCAACTCACCCCAGCGGAGATCCTTCCTTTGTTATTATTTCCTCGCACGACTGCATAGATACATTTATACCATTTTATTTTCTCGGTAATCGAAATGATTTTGGCTATATCCATGCGAACGACACTACTGATAATGTTGGCACACGTGAAGCAGTATGCTCTCTGCTATCTTATATGGTCCCACATGCAAACAAACAAACACGATATGGATAGGTCTTGCCGTCTGTGCTGCACATAAATAAGGCTCCTCGATCTTTACCGCTTCATCGACGCTCCACGGATTTTCTTTTATAGTTTGTCCCAGCATAATAAGTACCAAGAAAAAACAAGTGACAAACGACTGCGGATAAGGGAAAAATGACTACACACAAATTAAAGATTAGAGACGATGATGCTGATGATGCTAGAGCGTGTCACGATGATATACCTGCAGTCGGTATTATATCATCGTTTGTCTCTGTTTTGGAATGATGTTTTCGCGTCATAATGCAGAATAGAGACACCAGTAAGAGTCATTATTGCTCTATATTAGTTCTGGCAATTCCTAAAATACTTGATACTTTCGATACCATTAACGCGTTGATTAACTATGATACTGCATACAATTACACGAGAGGACATTACTAAAGTGCTATTTTGTAACTACTGTAGGAGGAAGACTTTTTCTTTCAAAGTATCTTTGATAAGGAGTTACCAAGACAACATTTATAAGAGCAAGCTTTTACTCTGTTGACATGACAACAACCTGCATTTTCTGTTGCTTTTGTGACAGACCTTCCTGTATGTTGCTTGTTACCATGCTGCTTTGAAAAGCTGTAAAGGCATTAATACGGTGATAACAACAGCAGTGGATCCCGCACTACAACTTCATTGCATATGTCGGTTATGTAGACATGGCTGTTTCTTTACCCTATCAAAAACATTAAACCGTCTTCTGTATACACTTCCATCCAACATGTCAATAATTTATGCCCGGAACTCTGCATAAAAAGAGTTTTGATGAACAACGGTATCATAGCATTCTGCTCTTGCTGACACTCCTCGTCGATCTTGCGCCTATATGGTATCAGGGCATCGTCTCTTTTGTCATTAACAGCTGCCATGAAAATTTTGATCGAGATATACTATACTCAGTCTGTGTCGTGCCGGATTGGTTAGCTTACGGAGGAATGAGCATTAAATACAGCACAGCTATAAACTGGCTTTCTCTCTCTCTCTCTCTCACACATCAGAGACTGAAAGAATGTCAGACGATCCATGATTATTTATACCAGCGTCATCATTAAAACAAAAATCTGCGCCACACTGCTCGCTTGCTATGATGGAAAAGGTTAAGCTATTTTTTTTTGGATAGTTGTACATGACGAAAGAGAGAGAGCTTACTAACTATATTACGACTGACTGTCAGTTATGAAATTGCCACTACCATTGTAGTCCTATTGGTAATAAGTTACGCACTAAAATATAGCATGTGTTTAAATACACCAGAGACCGTGATGCTCTTCTATGCTATACACGAGCCGCGGGTTTTCGCCCACTTTTTGAATCAATAGATAGTCTACGTGACTCTTATACATTTACGCCCCAGAACTTGTAGCAGTATGTATCTTTCTGCGGAAACAGTGGGGTCGTCGTGTTATTAGCAATAACTTAACGCTCAGAATGATGCGTTCTCAAAACTATACTGGTGTGTGTCAGTATATCGATCGACAGTGTACCTTCGCAAGAAGATTGTTAATTATGCTGTACGAATACTAATAGTAATAACGAGAGATCCAAAGAAACTTCTTCTATTCTAATTTCTACCGTATCGGGCTATTTACACACCGATCATGTGACAAAAGCAAACCTCGGAATCAGATCCGGCATTTTCCACACGTTAATATAAGCTCCTGGAGTGTATCATCGCTTTTGTTGTAAGTTGTATTTCCATTGGAAGGTATGATAGCTGGTACATATTATAATACACATGTAGTCTCTTGTCTTGTCGACAACCGCAAAAGTAAGATAGATTCCCCTACGAGTACAGTAACTGTGTATAAAGACCAGGCCTTTTAACGACATAAGAAGATATGCAGTATGGTTTATGAAAGTGATTCGACAGGGTATATAAGGGAAAGATAGCAGTGGAAGAGAGAAAAGTATGTCCAGGTACAGTATATGCGGGGTTAGTAAATGCTTATCATATGGGCAACAGTATCTATCATATATCGGGGGACAGGATAAGAAGCCCCCTTATTTGATGGTTGCCAGTTTCTTGTTCGCAAACTTAAGCTTAAGAGCAGTACGGTCTACATCGCCGTCCAACTCATCCAGAATTTGGTTTTGGGTCTCCAGCTCATCACCGATGGCAAACCCAAGCTGCTTTTGTCGTGCCAGCAATGCACTAAACTGTTCGACCTGGGTGTCCTGCTCTTGCATGACTTCTTGTTGATACTGGATCAGTCCATCGTTATCCAGTCCACGCGTCACTTCAGTCTCCTTGGCCTTCTGCTGAGCTGCTGCTGCTGCCGCACCAAATGCTCTGCCGGGCCCAATTGTCGCACTGCGTCTCGGTGGCTGTTGCCGCATCTGCTGCTGCTGCTGCTGCTGCTGCTGCTGCTGTTGCGGGAACCCATAATTATAGTCCTCCTGTTGTTTGGGTTTTTCATTCATCACCAAAGCCGTCTGACTACGGCGCGGTTTCAACAGTTCTTGTTCTTGTCTACCGGAATTCACCAACTTCAAAAGCGCATCCTTTTCATCGCGAAGCGTAGCAAGCATGTCCTGCCTTCGTCGCAGCTCACCGTCGGCCATGGCATCCGGACCTTCTGACAAGCCTTTCAATGCAGCATCCAAATCGGATGTATGCGTGGATAGCGTGACCAGCAACTTTTTCGCTTGCACCGTACAGTTATGCGATGCCGAAATCTCGTTACGTGCATTATGCGTTCCTCGTTTATTGATCAGCGAGCGGACTTGGCGGGCGGCATTGGTCATGCTGTGGTATTCGTCCAGCCACGTCTCGGAAGTATACGACGTTGCATGATGATTCGACGGTGACGACGACGCCGATGGATGTGGTATCGCCAAGAAATCTTTCCAAATATCCGTCTGTCGCCACCGATCGTCTCGGTGGCTCAGAATGGCCCGCAAGTATTCTTCTAAACCACGTCGTCGAGTGTCAATCTTGTTGGGATCGGAAAATGTCGACGGGAAGATGCGTTTGGTCGGCAGATGCACAGGAACCGGGTGGGAAGGAAACACACTTTCGAAATGGTGGTGCAGTTTTACGAAATCCGAGTACCGTTTCCAGACGACCCAGGTGCGGACCGCTGCATGGACTTCGACACAGTACACCGTGTGTGGCTTTGGTTGGTGTCTTGTCTCACTTGAAGGCACAAAGACAGCTTGAATCACTTCACTCATTGCTCAAGTATTTTAGTTATTGTATAAGAAGAAGGGAGAAGCAAGAAAAGCAAACAAGGTTTTATGTTGTTGCAGAAGGGACCCACAAAAAAAAGGAGGGGGCAGCCCTTTTTTTAAACGAAAAGTGTCTCAGGTCTTACACATGTAGAGTGGAGTGCACGGGATGATCGTGTTCTGGTGTGCAGCACCCGGTGCTCTTGCGGCACCTTTTGCACCACTCTGTGACGCTGTCATGTCTTTAAAATGGTGGCTGTGTGTTACACTGCCGCAATCATCGCTTCTGTGACAGTTTAGCCCCTAAATATTATATAAACATATCAGTATCATATATACAATAAAGCAGCTCTTCTTCCACTAAACATCTCCTATCGCTGATTCGTAATACTGGGTATCATATTTTCGGGCTTTGGGAATAGTGATTTTAGTATTGGGAAGCACATTAACATTGTTCGGAGGTACTCTACTTTCTGATTGAGAGGCTGACTGGGAGGCCGATATTGGTCGATTTGGGAACCATCATGCAAAAGCTAAATGGTGGATAGGCTCAAGTGTTAGTTGGCAAAATCACTTCTCTTTGCAAGCAATGGTCCTGGTTGCTTGTTTAAAAAGTATTATACTTGAGTTGGTTTTATACTTGGTTCTTTACATACAGTATCTGTCACCTACGCTAGATTAGGCAGGCTGTAAAGCAGTTACCACCATGTTTAGATACTTTTGCATTGCATTTAAGAGCTGACGAATCTAACTGCAGGCAGTCTCATTGTCAGCATGCGATCGATCTATATCAAGTGTGAAGGCTTGTATCAATTGCAATCGTAATATACAACAGTATCCACCTTTCCTCAGTCTCTTCCTGAATTTCTTTAACCGCATCGCGTTAGCATCGTTACTCTGTTGACCCGTTTTACTAAAGTTTTGTATTTTATACTTGGTGCGTAACACCCAAATATGATGAGTATAATCAGAATTTTTTCAAGAGACCCTTCCACTATTCCAATGTGGAAAAAGTATTTGATTTATTTGTGGAAGGTATGTATGTAGACCAGCTCCTCTAGGTAATACGGCCTCTTCCTTGCCGCATGGCACAGAAAATAAAAAGCACACAGTACATGCTGACAGTATACATCTGTGGACTTCAAGCACGGAAAAAAAGAGTTGTTCATGATATTTAGCTCTTCGCTAGATAAGTGAGATTTCCACTTCATCGAATCTCATGACAGAGGAATGGATGTAATACATCATGATTGACGTCGACCGAGGAAAAAAGGGACAGTCTGCCTGCTCGTCTAACGCGGTTTCGTTATTCATCAAGAAAAATTACGTCAGAGAAGTTTTCAAGTTCCCACAGCGACGCGTCGCAACTGTACCTTTGTTGTTTTGTCAATTGCTCACCTACAACAATGGCCTCTGCATCTGATAGCCTTGGATACCTTGTCCGTGTCTTTCCCACCTACCCGACCGAAGTAGTTACAGAGACTTTTGACAACCAGCAACAACTTGACGAGTGGGTTAAAGAAAACCCCAAGCAGCATGCCAACTTCATCACCAACAACAAGTACATCTCCGTACCCAAGGCTTCAGATGCACGCCGAAATAATGCCGGCCGTCCTCGGACAGTTGAACGTAGTATCACTTTTTTTTGTGATCACTCAAGAGAAACATCGGCTCCAGCTATCCCTGCTCTGCCTATAGACTCAACTGAACCTGCTCCCATCAAAAAACGTCGACTTGCAAAACCATCTATCAAAGTAAATTGTCGTGCTCGATACCGTATTCAATACTTATTCTCAGGCAAAATTAAACTTGTATATCACTGGCAACATCAACACCATGACCCTACCGAGATAACCAATGCTACTCGCTCACAACTCCCCGCTGAAACACGTAAATGGATCGAAGAACTTGTCAATAACAAGTTGGAGTGGGATCAAATTCAGGAACATCTACGTTTGACTGATAAACAACTTCAAGATGTAAGTATCATCTATACATGTAAAGCAAAACTATGATGATAACTTGTAGAGATGCTAACCTGTGGTATCAGCTCGAGGAAGGCGAAGGACCGTTCCCGGAAGCCTTACGTGTGAAGCAGCATCATGTCATGAATATCATCGCCAACCAACAGTCAAGATTAGCAAGAAAAGATTTAATCGATAAAGAAAGTGTAGTCAAGTGGCTTCTCTTTTTAAAAGATCAAGGTTATCAAACGTTGGAATATATCACGGATTCTACTTTTGTTGTTGCATGGATATCACCACGACAAGCTTTGGTAAGAAAAGATATATACTTAAATATAATGCAATGTTCGTATATTAAGATGCGTATGTACTTTATAGCTGCTCAAGAAATCAAATGAGATCTGTGTTGATGCCACACACAAGACTTGCAAATCTATCATCAATGGTCGGGCTGATGCGTATCTGTTTTCTATCGTTGCCAAGCATACAGTTACTGGACAAGGTTACCCTCTTGCGTTTATGATCACAGATAAAGAAGATAGTGAAAATTTGCAAGTATGGTTTCGGTGGCTCCGGGACAGAATCGAATACACACCAACAAGGATCATGATCGATTGCAGTCCAGTTGAATTTAACAGCATCAGAGCAGTTTATGGTCATCAAGTTCAAGTTCTTCTGTGTCATTGGCACATCAAAAGAGCATGGGAAAAGCACATCACGTCCAAGGTACCTTTTAGTTAGCCACATTATCGTATATTCAATATAACCTTTTTTTTCTATATGTTGGGTTATAGTTAAAAACTACTCTGTCAACAGCCGATACGAAGAAAAGAAGAGATGAGGCTCGTTCTGCCCTTGGTGCTTTGATGAATTGCAAAACTGTCGTTGGATTTGTGCAGGCTTGGGATGAATTTGGTAAAAAATGGCGAGATACATACGAGCATTCTGAGTTTTATGGCTATGTGCTGGATTATTGGGTATCCTAAGCATCATCTTTGGTGCAAGGCTTGGAAAGGGGTACGTTTAAGGCTCGTTTTAGCTTTATTTTGCGCTTCAATGTTATTTACGGTTGTATATTTAGAATGCGTCCTTCCATACAAATAATCTGATCGAAAGCTGGCATTTTAAACTTAAACGCAAATATCTTCCATACAGTCGCAATCATCGTGCTGATCGTGTAATCTATGTGTTGATGCAGTTGGTCGGAAATGACTATCGTGCTCAAGTCCTGCGTGTTTTGGCTGGTGTTGAAGAAACAACAGCGACTAGAGAAGCTCAACAAAGGAAAAAAGAAGCTTGCAAAAAAGTACCAGATGAAGCTGACCGGATGATAACTATTCATGATGATCTTGTATGTATCGTTTCTGTATGTGTGCGCTTACTTTTACAATTGCTAATTGTACTGTGGCAATAGGTTACCTGTCAATCTTTTACTAGTTCTGCATTGTATACTTTAAAGTTTGAAGAAACAGATAGCAATGGCGTTATTGGTTCTTGTAGTTGTGAAGATTTTAAAAAGCGTAACCAGCCATGCAAGCATATATATCTTATCGCATATAACACCACCATTCCAGTAATCATAAACCAAAGTTTTCCTCGCCATTCAACAGCAACAGCATCATCGTCATCATTACCAGCATCAACTTGATTATTTTCGTCGTCAACAACATTAACAGCATCTGTGCAACTACCACCACCATCTTTACAGCAGTAGCAGCAGCAGCATAGAAATGATCTGCTCGCCGAATATGAACGCTCGAAAAATCAACTTGATAATTTATTTGCAAAAAACAAAACAAACATATCTACAACACAACTAGAGAATATGATTGTTCTCCAAAAAAGGCTATACACAGACATAGAAAAAATTACCAATCCAAATGCACGTCCCATAGTAGGATCGCTGTCCTTTGCACTAGCTCTTTTCAACTACAGCCTTCCTTTTAAAATCATCACATAACGTAGACTTACATTTGATGACGTTCTTTAATGTTCTATAAAGCATAATCTTGTACTCGATTTTTTATACAAATATAGTAATAAAGATGGTTGTGAACACCCATAATAATATATATATTAGACCATGAATATAAAAACCAATAGCATGCTTTGTCCGTTTACTATATGTGTAATATAAAGAACGAAAATATGCAATGCGTAATCCTTCTTTTTACGAACCTACTACAGAAGGCACCACCTGGTCCATATGCAATGTATAGTAAGACCGTTATAGACATCTACATGCATGATGTAATCAAATCATAAGCTTGGGGGACCATATGCACATAAAAATATCAAGGTGTAAAAAAACCTTGATATTTACTCGAAAAGCTAAATGTCAAGATGTTTGAAAACATCTTGATATTTTATAAGAAAGCTGTATATCAAGATAATATCAAGCTTTTTTCTATCCCTTGATATTCCCCTGCAAGCCCAGTGAAAGAAGTAGCAATAGTACAATGAGAATAGACAATAGAGAGTGGCAGTGAGAGACGAGATTTGACAAAAGACGTAGAAGGAATTAAGAAAAGAGAAATGAAAGAAGAAGCAAGAAATGAAAAGAAAAGGGAAAACGGAAAAGGATTAGGGGCATTTAAAGGAAGTCGATATTTAACCACACTTTAACCATTATGCTTTCTTTAATGCATGTGAGCGCAAACGATTTCTTTTGTTATGGCACAAACCCCTTTACCTTTAAGAATAATCACACAAAACGTAGATATTGCTAGCACTGCTAGGAATTTGCGTGCCATCATCTTAGAGAGCTGTGTATACATGTAGTTTTGCACTTCCAGTGCTCAAGCTCAGGTTGATTGACACCTCCTTTGTCACCAAATCAAAATCAGTAATGACCTGTCAACCTAAGGTATGACCCGTCCAATTGTAACCCCTACAGTTGTTGGACTTGCAATATGGGACTTGCAATTTCCCTGTGCTTGTGACTGACTAAAAATTCCTCTGACGTAATTTTTCTTGATGAATAGAGCAACTCCGTGTAACGTTGTAACCTGCCTAAGGCGTTTACGAAAA